AAAGATAATAATCTTCGACCCATAATTTTAACTAGTATATTTATGTGAAACTTAATAAATTTATACTTTTATAATATTATTTTTAACAAAGAACACTTTCATATTATTGATATTACCGTATATATAATCGGTCAAATTTTGACATCCTTAACTTGAAAAAACACATCAGTGTTTGACTAAATAAAAAGAGATGAAGGGAGTACTATATATTTTTAACTATTTTTAAATGTCAGATTCCATGGTACCCATAAGGTATTAAACCTTTGCCCACGTGGATCAATAAGAATGTTGCACTTTAGTTATTTAAGTCTAAATAAAAAATGATACAGTGATTTGGACCAATCATGTGAATGATAAATACGGTACCCCGTTTTTTAAAACTCATCATGTAAGATCAATTTAAAATCACTTTTACATTTCATTTATTATGAATACTTTTTTGGCAATACTTTACAAAATAAAAGACGTATTTACTAAATCAAAGATCTTAGCCGTTTAACTCAAAGTACAAAAATAATAAAGTTTGAGTGGAAGCTATCAAATGACGATTTTGAATACGGAGTAACAATCTCCACTATGGCAGACATTTGATCTTGACCGTTCATATCACCAAAATCTAACGCCTCAATTGGCTTTATGTAAGGTTCGGACAGTTTTTCCTCCGGTAGTTCGGAGGAGAGCAGCTCTCAGTATAGAAGATGATTATATTTGATTTACCAATACATTAGAAATTCATTTTAAAAAAAGAATATTTAATTCTTCCCGTGTTTAACTTTCAAAATCTTATTTTAATTTTTTTTATTACTACTAGAAAATTAATTATATTAATGGTAAATGTAAAAATGAAAGCATGATAAAATGACAAACACATTACATATAGAAGTCACCTAAACGTTGATTCAAGTTAATATAAGTTTTTTTATCAATTCTTATGAGTACAATATAACTATATTATATTTTAATTTAGGTTAGGCCGTGAGAATGAGGTTTTCACATCCTGTTAATCCTGTTACAACTCACATTCATCTATAAAAAAACTTCGTGGAATAATAAGATATAAAACACATATCATACAAGATTGAATATATTTCTATCCTCATTACATACTTGTATGTTTATCCTCTCGAGAACGATCTATATTGCAACTTTCATTGACCATATAAATCTCAAAATGTTATGCACCATAGTTGTATATATATATATTGTTCTAATTAAGCAGCTCGGAGTGAAGGTGAGGTGGGGACTGATCGGGTCCCCACACACCCAACATTTGAAAAATGCTTTAATTTTAACGTAAAAATTTATTTGAAAAATTAACTTTTTTTACAATTCACCTCAACATTCTTCTTGGCTATGGTCGTAGTTCTAAGGAGAATAGAACATGAATTACTTTTTTAGTGTCCGATTGATAGTTCAACGTTAGTTACTTAATAACAATGTATAGATCACACTCTTATATTGCATAATATATGCGGATAGTGATGTTTAAGAAGAATAAACCATATTGTACAAGACTTCACTATGCTTTACCTTTTAGAATAAATACAAAAACTAGTGGGAGTAGAGGTTCATTTCGAGCTTTTGCTTAGGGACTTAAACTTTTGATACACATATTAATCAAGATTACAAGACTTCAAATGTAAGAGAATATGAAAAATACAAAGTAAATATTACCTACACATCTAAGGATGCAAAAGTAAGCTTCTAGACCTCAATAACACCATGTAAAGGAAAGAACAAATATAAAACCAGTAATGAACTAATGGATTAAATAATTCAACTGGGGTGGATTGGATGTTCTTAATAGATTACGAAATTATCTTTAATATCTATTCGTGATTCTAAATCAGTTTGAGGTGAAATTTGTGAGTTCTACTATATACCCTCAAAAGCTCTACTTCTCTTCAAGAATATCAATCTTTACACACGGTTTTTTTTCTGGAGATTTCCCAACTCTAGCGCTGGTAGGTGGTACGCCGGATAGGATATTGAGTGGATCGGGCGCCTTTCTCTCTTCTAACTTCTAAGAGATCTCCAACCCATACGGTGGATTGGTGCTTATGTGGCAATTGAATGGAGAAAGTCTATTTAGAAAAGTTGACCCATTTAAAAAAGAGAAGGTCTATTAAACACCCTCTGGTGCGGAACATTAAAGCAAGTTAAAAGACAAAAGAAAAAAATAGAAAGCAAAGAGTAAACTAAATGAGAGGATTTTCATGCAAATAGGCCCACATTTCCTCTCTTGCTTTTGTCAGAAGGTGGCACCTTCAGTCCATATATGGACCTTCCCTTAGACTACGGTCCATTTTTTTAATGCCACATCAGCTGCACCGAATCCATTTTATTTTGCATTGGAGTAGACAATTGCATTTAGTAAGTGCATTTGCTTAGGTGGAACCACAACCCACCCTAGCATTGGAGTTGCTCTAATGATCCAAGCCCGATATCGATTTAGACCTATATTCGGCACTCGAGTTGTATATATGTTAACTTTTCCGTTTTCCGCATCTTTTTTATCCTCGTGAATGACCGACTTAGGGGTGGCGAGTCACGATACAAAATCAATTAAGTTCATGCAACCTCAATGGAGTGTTGGTCGAGCGCTTGATGAGTGGTTGTGGTTGACTGATTAAGGTGAAGGTCATTCTTGTTGTACACAAAATTTGTGCACAGCCTGTGTACACATGTAAATTGCAAATAGTTATTGATTTCTTTAAACGAACTACTTATGGACACAAACAACTAGAACAATTTATAATTTGTGTACTAATTTTGTTATGAGTAGGATCAGACCAGTCTGGGTCAGGTTTTTGCTAATCCTGGAAATTACTCGTAGATCTTGGGTTATGAAAATTAGGGACTAGAACAAGGGCCGTTGTATTTGATCTGAGTCGAGTTTTTGGAAGTCCAAGTTCGGTTTGGGTTCGAGTAGGACTGGTTACAAATGAGTAATCATCAACTTATCCTTTTATATTTTAAACCTATTTTGAAATAAAGTTACTCAAAAATACATTTTATAAATAACAAGACAAGTATTAGTCTCCAAAATAACCAACAACTTCAAATCCAAAAAAAATAGTTTGTGTCATTTTGGCAATTTAGTTTTTAGCAAAGGGAGTTAGAAATAAAGTAGCACTTGAAAGGAGAATAACCTTAGCTTCCCAGAAATAGAGATCAGTGACAAAGAGAGGACTTGATCTTGGTCCTCACCTCTGTATCACTCTTATCCGTTTTTCTTATATTTAATCTACTACTCCGAATTAATTAGACGGGAACCAAAACCGCCTTCCTATCAGGTGAGGTTTTAAGCATACAAGTTTAAAACATAATTGTTAGTTCTATAGAAATAAAGTCAAATTGTATTTCTCAAATTTTGTTGGTCAACAAATCAACCAACGAATTCACAGCGTACTGGGCTGTCTATTATTTCTGAAATAATAGTTTACATTTTCAGTTCGTGGTAGCCTACCATTGGTAGGGTTGGTTTTTGGATTTGAATTTGGTTCCCCCTAATTTTGTATAGAAATGCATTTTTTCTTAATGATAACGCACACTACCAGAGACTCAAATTTTATGATCTGATTTGATCGGATAAATGTCTAGTCTCTGTATATTTTATAATTGTCTATATGTGATTTGAGTGATCCAACTAAAAACATCACTACTAACCATGTAAAGCCGCAGTGCGATTGGGTGGGTTGCACCTCACGATTTGAGGACCTATATCCTATACCCGGATGTAGGTACATCCAGCCCAGTTGAAGAAGACAGCCCATTAACTAATATAAGCCATTTTATTTTCGGTGGCATTTTTGTAATTTAAGCAAAAAATTGCGGCTTCAGCTAAATGAGCATTAGTGTACTTTAAATGAGCATCTGACCTATTCTAATGATTATTAGGAGGCTAACAATGAGCATCACGACCTCTAGTTCATATCTTTAAATTCAATTTTTTTCTTCTCTTTTATTTTATAAAAACTTGTTAAATTATATCTATAATTCACTCCTATGAATTTTGATATGCGAATTTAATGTAATATGATACTTTCAAAGTATGCATTGATATGACATTTTAAAAATGAGCGTAACACTAGTATGAAATGAGCATACATAACTTACAAAATGCTCATTCATATGAAAATTGTAAAGTTTGTTAGTATTTAACATCACAACATTTTAATTGAGCATCAAACATTCTCTATTAGGATGAAAATCACGGTTTTTGTTAAATGTGCATTAACTCACTTTTAATGAGCATCACACCTATTATGTTGAGCGTTAGTTTCATCAGCGTTAATATGACATTTTAAAAATGAGAATAACATCAATACTAAATGACATACATAACTTGCAAAGTGCGCATTGATATGAAAATCGTAAGATTTGTTAGTTGAACATTATGACATTTTCATTGAACATCAAACATCCGTTTTTGAGATGAAAATCACGAATTCTGTTGAATAAGCATTAATAAACTTTTAATGAGCATCAAACCTAATTTTTTTGAGTATTAAGAGTGTAATAATGAACATCGTCATCGCCGCATCATATCTTGTAATTCACTTTTTTCTTATTTTTAAATTATCTACAATTAATCTGTATGAGTCCAATATGTAAATATAATCTAACAATATACTTTTGAAATATGCATAAATATGACATTTTAAAATGAGTATTGCACCAATATCAAATGAGCATACATAACTTACAAAATGAGTAACGAAAAAAGTCAAAAAAACTCATTTAAAATCTACAGTACGCTCATTTGAATTCTCCGGTATGCTCAAATTTTCATTTATATATGAATACTCATTTGATTTTTCTAATTAAGGTGCTCAAATATTCATTTGAATATTCAATTCTTTCAACAGTTATTCACACTAATTATAAACATTATGCTCATTTTGAATATAACCTAAAATTTATATTACTAACTCTAAGTTGAAAATTTTAACACAATATTAAAATATAATATTAAAATAGAAGTTCAAATTTGTCCTTGATTTGTGAACTAAAACACTACTATACGTACAAGACTTTGCTTTGACTTTAGCCTTCGGATAGAAGACCACAACCACAAGCCAAGAAGACTTTCAACGGGAGATTGGAACTCTTCATCAGACCTCAGCGATTTCAATTCAGCGCGCAGCGCAACAGGAACTACATAACTTCTATCATTGAAATTCTAATTAATTGCAAAAATATGGATGAGAATCGTACAACTGGTGTATGGTATAATTTGCGTGAGGATTTGGCTGCGAAAATAAGAAGATGAAAATTAGAAAAGTACGCGAGAAGCGAATCAAGTCCTTGAGAATGAAGCTTGATTGGTCTCTAATCCCTTTCCCACGCAAACCACAAACTCGTACGAGAGAACGTGAAATTAATTAAATAATTTTAACAACAATCGGCGCCATCATCGTAGCCTGCAGGCCACCGCCCTTTGCCCTCCCAGCGGCCGGCATCTCTCCGCTCTTCCATGGAGGAGCGGGTCCCACCGGCCGGAGAAGACGGCCGGGAGATTGGCCCTGCATCGCCGGCAATTCCACCCGCCGAGACCTACGTGGTCCAGATACCCCGTGACCAGGTCTACCGCGTGCCCCCGCCGGAGAACGCGAAAATCGTAGAGAGCTACCGAGGACGGTCGCAGAACAAGGACACCGGCCATCTCCGCAGATGTTTTTCTGGGTTCGTCGCTCCGCTCCTCCTCCTCGTCATCTCCGTCGCCGCCTTTGTTGCCACCGATGACTTTCTCTACGCCGTCAAATCCCCGAAATTCTCCGTCGCGCGCGTCGATTATCAGCCCAAGAATTCCACACTCGCGATCACGCTGCGTGTTGAGAATGGTAACGAGAGAAGCACGGCGTCGCTTGGCAGCGGAGGGAAATGGTCTCTGCTTTTCAAGACCCACACAGTTGCGACGGGGAGATTCCCGATTCCAGCTCCCTCCGTTTCGCTGGAGCCCGGAGGGAGAAAGGATGTGGATTTGAATGCCCCCGTCGGCGGTAAACTTTCCGGTGGCTTGCAGAGGGAACTAGTCGACGGGAAGGCGCCGAAGTCCATGACGTTGAAGGTCAGTGGCGTGGCGGTGGAGGTTTGGAGTTGGGCTAAGGGAACGAAGAAGAAAGAGGGAACTATTATCACGTGTGATTTCAAGGTGGATTCTCTGACAAAGAAAACCAAGCTTCTATTATCTCAACAATGTCGAACCACTTTTTAGATCGAAATAACTTTCTTGAAATTACTCTAGCTTTAATTTCGCGCTCTGATTGATCTTGATATACCAAGCATGTATATGCAATGTAAACTAACATCTGATCTAATTTTACTCTTAATTTGCAGCCCTTGAACTTTCACTCCTTAAATACATAAAACTTTTAGGCAAAAACTAACATCCGATATATTTGTTGTTTTAAATCAAATGCTTCAGCAAATAAAACTTCTCACTAGTTTATAGCTTATCTATTCTTTGGGCACCTCCATGTTTTAGTAAGTTGTTGAGTAGTGGCAGAAAAACAGGAGAGCTCACTACGTATATCTGATTAAGTGTATACATATAGTTTCATATATCTTGTTATAATGTAGAGTGTCCAATAGTTGTTCCACATGATATACTTGTATGTGCCAGAGTTTTCCTCGTGCACTGAAACTGTTTGTTTAAATGCCTCAATCAGATTATTCCTGGTGTCTGCATTTTTCAGTTTAAAGATATTCTGGGCAGTATACTACGGAGTACTATACTACCTACAATATATACTCCGTATGTACTAAAGACAATACTACTGTTCGAATTGCATTGTCGTAGCTGGATATATCATCAAGACATGCATGTTTCATACGGAGTACTCCGTATTTAACATGCAGATTGCAGGTTGATGAACTTGCTTGTAAATTCAATGTAGATCCAGCCCGACCACTTCAAGAAAAGATGGAGCTGGTCAGGGAAAGCTAGCGCTAGGCAATTAATTAAAATAGAGATAATTTCCTCAATAATAGGAGAAGATAGGTATGTGAAAGTGATCTTTTGAGTCCAGATGATCTTTTGACTATGAGAACACTCTTCTTTCTAACGAAGAGCTTAAAGATTATGAGGTTACATGGAGTAGATGGATATGTGATTACTTGATTTGAAGAGAGAGATAACCATCCCTTGATATCTCCCCATTTTGTCCATTTCTTAAGATCTATCGAGCCCTTGATCTTGGCCACCAAAATTTTGTTTCGAACTATTCAAAAGCAAATATTGGTACAATGAAATGCTATCATTTGCATAAAGAAGCTGTCGGTGGCTGGGTATTTGAATAATGGTGCAATTGTGGTTGACTTTAAGAACTTTAAACGTAATTTGAAGGCGTATGTTACAGGTGTTGATTGATAAGCTCTTTATAAAGCGGGATACATGTTCTGAATTTTTCTTTAATTATGATGTAGATGAATATGATTACTTGATGACCTGAATTAATTGTGGCTGGCCCTATATAGATCGAAATAATTATGCTCTATTTGGAGATGTTGTTTCGTCTGGTTCTACTTTTATGACTAATAGATACATTTTATTACATAACTATTCTCTATATATAAAAACATAACTATTCTCTATCCGCACTAAGCTTAAATAGTTGTTACTTTCCTATTTCACTCCCTATTGTGAAGTGATAAGTCCGTATTTAGACACGCATTTGATGCGTGTTCGGGTCGGATTCTGATGATTTTCCTGGCTTCAAGGCGTTGCAAGTCTCAATTTTGGCTCAAGATGTGTTTAACAGGCGTTGGATCGAGTGTCATAGCATTTGAAGTTGATTTGAAGAAGTTAGAGTCCGGCAATCGGCGCTTGAGAGGCATTCAAGAAGGATTTGAAGGCATTCGAGAGAGATTTGGAAGATTTGGAGGCCACCGGGAGATTCACGACGAAATTCCGGTGAAGAAAGAGCATTTGGATCGACCTCGTAGACATTCGGGAGCATTCGGAACGAGAAACGAAGAAAAACGATGAAGAAATGGTCAGGCACGACCGTGCCTAGGGCAGGCACGATCGTGCCTGCCATCTGAATTGACGCGGAGCTACTGGCAGCCAGACACGATCGTGTCCGGTGCAGGCACGATCGTGTCTGCAATATTTTTACGCGTCCCTTCCGCAGGCACGATCCCAGGCACGATCGTGCCTGGCATCGTGTCTGGCCCCGTTTTGTCCTAAATCAGCTCAAATTCTCCTGTTTTCTATAAATAAGGCCTCCATACCCACTTTTGGGGGTTACGAACTTTGGAGAGAGGCCTAGGGACGAGTTTATCTGCGTTTTTTACGTTGTTTAAATCCAAGAACCTGGGATTCTTTGTAAGTTCAATTCTTTAATTAATGACAATTATTTCTATTCATCCCAATTCTTTTGATTCGTCAATTATGAGGCGTGAGTAGTTTAATTAGGGATTTGGGGTTGATGAAGGGGTTAATCATGATTGATGGCTAGATTCTTGTCGGTTTAATTGCATGAATGCCGTTTAATTTGTGTTTGAATAATTTAACTGATATCTCTTGTAACCTAGATGGCCACTAGAATTACAATTGCTTATAGAATAAATTAAGAGAGATCTAATTTGTTCTAGGACACATTCACACACACTTAATCGTTCGCTAAGAGATTAGTAGCGATTAAGGGGCCGTAAGCTCGCTCGTTTTGGCAATAATTTAGGATCTTGTCGCATGAGAGATCAACCTGGACCCCTAAATTATTGTACTCTATGCCGCGAGAGCGGTAAGAACTTAGTAATGATTAGCTAGGCTCAATTAAATTAAATTCATGTAATTAGGCCTGTTCTGCCAGAAATCTGGTTAACCCCGGAATCAATTCCTGTTCCCTTCGTCGTTAATTAAGGAAAACCAAATCTTTTTATTCGCTCATTAGCATTAGTTTTAGTTTAATCAATCAATCAATCTCGCACAATTGCACTTTTATTTTATTTATTTCTGTTTAATCGTTAAATTTAGTTAAACCTTATTTCCCCTTTGTCCGTCCCTGTGGAGACGATACTCGTACTTTCAACCACTTTTCTACAACCATTTTAAGTGCGAGAAAATACTCACATCAGTTTTTGGCGCCGTTGCCGGGGACGGTGTCGGATTTAAGGGTTAATTAATTTTAGCGACCTGTTCTTAGTTTTTCGTAGGATTTTTGTCTGCTAACCTTGCAGGTCAGATCTGTTTATGCATACGCGCTCTAAGAAGGGAGAATCACTAGTCCCTCTTAATCCTGAGATCGAGAAACTAGCTAAGCAGAACCGCAAGGCTTTTAGAGAACAGAAAGCAACCATGGATCAACCATCCGCATCTGGAATAGCTGGGACGTCTGAGGTCCAAACCACTTCTGGTAATCTGGATTTTTATGTTAATACCTCTCCCCAGTCTTCACAAGAAAATTCACCTAGAGCTTATCCGGGGTATCAAAATCTCCGTACCCCATTCTTCCACCAAAATCAGTCAACTCCACAACTAAATCTTCCACCACTCTATCAGCTCTTCCAAAATACTTCTATTGCTCCCGAAACCACCTTTCAAAACCAAACCTTTGGGATGCAAGGTCTGGGGCAAAACAATCCAGTCTTTCAGCCCAGACAGAACCAACCACCAGTCACACAAAATCCACCCCCTACTCAGCCACAAAATCAACCCTTCCAACCACAATATCAACAATTCCATCAACCCCAACCTCAGCCAAATGTCATCCGTCCACAACCCATTAGACCCCAACCTGTTCATCAGGCGAGATATCAAGCCCCTCCTTACCACAACTATGTCCCACATGACAATCCACTCTATCAAGGAGAGAGCATTGCAGACTTCCTAGCCCCCGAGATCACAGAGTATGACAGTATTCAGGTACCGGGAATTACCGCACCCCGTTACGAGATCAAGCCGGCGGTGATCAATATGGTTCTAAATAATCAGTTCGGAGGAAGCCCTACGGAAGATCCAGTGGCACACATCACCAAATTCCTGAGGATGTGCCAAACTTTCAAAATTCCTGGGCTAGATGATGATCAGGTTCGGATGCTACTATTCCCTTTCTCTTTGAGGGATGACGCGCAGAGGTGGTTGGATAGCAATCCACATCACCACATTCAGACTTGGGACCAGCTGCACAAGGCCTTCATAAAAGAATACTTCCCAACTTCAAAGGCCATAAAGTTGAAGAAGCAGCTACAGGAATTCAAGCGCAGAGCTTGCCCTCAAGGCAAAATGACTGATTGTGAGGTTCTATCTTGCTTCTACAGTGGACTCAACAATGAAGGAAAGATGATGCTAGATGCTTCGGGAGGTGGAGCTTTTCCTCAGTTGCCATCTGAGGTTGCGGAAGAATTAGTGGAGAAGATCGTGACTAATAATGCTTCATGGTACAATTCTCGGGACACACCTCACCAGAAGGCCCCGGGATTATACGAGATCAGTGAGAATTCCGCCCTTTCTGCAAGGGTAGATGCTTTGACCAGTTTGATTCAGAAGCTTGCTACTACAGTGGAAGACAATCAAAAGAAGACGGAACTTGCTCTCTCGGTGCCCAGTGTGAATATGGTAGCCCCCGTTCCTATTAGTCCCTCTTGTACTATGTGTGGGGGACTCCATTAGCCGCATGAATGCACAATGATGTCACACTCGGCAGCCCCTGGAGTAGAGCAAGTGGATGCGATGTATTATCAGCGCCAAGGCTACTACAATCAGCCCTACGGACAGCAGCAGCAAGGGCAATACGGGCAAGGAAATCAGCAGCAGACTAGAAACTTTAATCAGCCCCAGATACCTCAAGGCCAGCAACAAGCTCCTCAGCCGGCGCAATGAAGCTTCAGAAAGGAGACTGAGCAAAAATTTTCTAGCTTGGAAGAAGTGCTCAACAAATTAGCACAAAATCAGCTGAAAGCAGATTCAAGGATGCAAATGCTTGAGGCAAGGATGCAGAGCATGGAGACTCACATGGGGCAGATCTCAAAGGCTTTATCTGAGAGGCCTCAGGGATCCCTTCCTAGTAATACTGAACCAAACCCAAGAGAACATGTTCAGGCAGTGTGACACCGCACCCGAACGTCCTTGAAAATTTGATTTTTAAAATTCAAAGTTTATGTATTCCCAAACAATTGTAAAACGATTGATGTTTTACGTAATTCATGATCGATTATTATACCGCTCGAACTCGTACATTAGTGTTGGGCTTGCGAATACTCGTTTGGGCCTTATTAATAAATGAAAGATCCTAGCATTATCTAAATAGTTATACATAACGTTTCAAGACAAGTTGAGGAAGGGCGGGCAGCCCATATATTATTTTGGGCTCAACCCGCTAAAATAGCAAATATTTGAGGACGGCGTCGTAGGCCCACTCGGGGCGACCCACACGGCTTGTAGCCCAATAAT